ACAAAGTTTCGACGAATGAAACTTTGAGATTTTGGAACAGTAATAGAGGAATAATGATGCCCAATCGGCAGTAGGGGAAGTATGAAAACGGTGAAAAACCAAAGTTTCAACTGGGAGGAGTAATGCATAACATTCGATAGCATTTTTCACGGGGAATCCAATGGGGCACATCTCAGGTCTGCGAGTTCATCTGGAAATGCAAAAAATCTGATCTTTCCACAAGGGCATGACGAGGAGGCATTTTCACAGCCACAGCACGGCGGAAGCGCTCGTCTACAAGCAAGTATGTCATCTTATTTCTACACTCAAGTAAGCGTACTCTACAACAGTAAAGAGATTTTCCCTCTACCTCCTCAGTTTTCGGAAAAACCTTCGCTCAAACATTGGAAAATTTCACCAAATAGGCTAGGGCATGACGAGGAGGCATGTTCATGGCCACAGCACGCAGGGAGCGGTCATCTGCAAGCAAGTGTGTGATCTTATTCCTACACACAAGTAAGCGTACTCTAACTAAGAGAAATTCCCCGCTACCTCCTCAGATTTCGGAAAAACCTTCGCTCAAACATTGGAAAATTTCACCAGATAGGCTAACTGTCCAGCCGAGAATTGATCTATGATTTCCATTTGAACACGAGAGGAGGAGATGTTGAGCGCAGGACTACGTGTTAAGTCATTTAACGCGCCGCTGTGGAATAGGGACCATGAAATCTGGAAAAAAGCAATCGATCCATTCACAATACAATGGACGATGTTGAATACGCGGCGCGTTCTGGGGATGTTGGCCATCCCTCGTCTGTAAGACGATTGCATGGATGCATAAGCGGGATTACATGCGCGCACATTCAAACAGTTTTTTCTCGAGCCAAAGCTCGAGTGCATGGCGCAATCTGAAGTAAGGCTTTCCAAAAGTTTAAAAGCATATTCTTATAGAACTCGACGAGCTGAGTTCAACGCTTTTTTCAGATTTCGAAAATCTTAATTCTGAAGCGAGTTATAACGAAAAAACGAAAAAGAAACGCGAATTTGCGTTTTTCGCGTGTTTTTTTCGATTTTTTACGGCGAGTACCGTAGTTTTCCACATGGTTAGACTCGCCACAGAGAGACGAGTCCAATGGTGTAGAGCACCAATCATTTGACCCGCTTTGGGGGGAGTTATGAAGGGGCGACGCTTTGCGACGCTGCAAATCCGTCGCTCAGCGGAGAAATTTCAAAAGTTAGTGGCGGTATTGTATAATGAGGCTTTCATTTGTTTTAGGGCGAGGTGGTCCGCAATGGTAGCGATTGCAGGCCGCGAGACAGCGGGGGAACAATCGGGACAGGTTGGGTTTGCTGTGCGAGTACGCTTGTGGATCAACATTGGGCCTTTTTCACTTCTGTTTGAGCGTTCTTAGCTAAGGTTTTGATCCTTTTCAGCGAATTGATTTACTTCTGCGTCGAGATGTTAGTGACCGGGTTGGTGGGTCTTCAAGACGACGGAAATGAGCTACTTCGTGCTAATCGTGGAATTGGGTCTTACGAGTTGACCAGAGATAAGAGAAGGATTTGCGACGTCGGCACCAGAAAATTGATTTCATCATGGGTGAGGTGGAATTTTGGCCTTTATGATTCTTTAAAATTTCTTGATCAGAAATATACGCTTCAACTTGTTTCAGTGTATCTCAGTGGGTTTTTCAGTGCCTATTCGAACTTGTGTAGGGCAGCATGCGCGAGTGGCTGTGGAAAAATGAAAGGCGCGTCTGGTCAAGCGTACGCATTCCAGAAGGCAGTGGGCACACGTGGCAGGGAGCGAATGGGGCTGAGGTGGGTACGAGTGCGGCAGCGCACTCGAGGTAGGAGTATTTCGCCTTGCTTTTTACTCTTTTTTTGTAGGTGAATTTTCCCATTCTCTTATTTAGATAGCATTGGAGATGGAGGATCCGCAGATGGTGGCGGATTGACGCGGAGCGCCGGGGAAATTCGAACGATGAGGGTTGGTTTTGCGTGAGCATAAATTTGTTTTTCCAATTGTAGGCACTTACAGTTTTAGGCTTTCTCGAGACCAACTATGTAGCACTTTTACAGATGACATGTTATTACGTTTTCCCGAGTAGAAGTAGCTGAGTTGGTGCGTTTCGTGCAAGGGAGGGCGAGCAGCGTTTGTATCATTTTGAGATTCTGGTCTACGACGACGGAGTCGGAGAATTTCTTCCGCCCGTATGTTTCAGGAAATTGATTTTATCGAAGGGTGAGGTTGAATCGGCGTCTTTTACTTCTTGAATGTCTATTCATGTGTTCAACTGTTGACAGTGCTTCTGTGGGTTTTCGTGCCTTTTTTGAACATTATATGTGGGACGGTCTCGCGATAGTGTGGAGAGCATGGAGACGTGAACCGCGCGGAGCAACAATTAAGGGCTGCAGAAAAACAAAGGCCAAACTAGGCAAAGGGATGCGAGCTGCGAGTAACTTGCTCAGCGTCTTGTTGAAATTCGAGCCTCATGGTAGCTGTGCTCGGTAAGAGTCTATATAAGGGTACCTATGATTGTATCTTTGAGTTACAGTCTATTTGGTGCTGTATAAAGATAAAACTTCTTAAAGGGTTCCTCCAATGGGATGTCGAGGAGTTGTTATGGAAATCAATCTTTAAACGGTTTTAGATTTGTGTTAGGAATTGTTTCAGTGAGCACCAAGAAAATCCTACCGCGAGTGGGTTCTCTTTCATTTGCTAACACGATGCTGAGCCTAGACCATTATTCCCGAATTTCCGCGAAGCGAGTCAAAAACTGCTTTAAGGTCGCTTAACGCCACTGTGCGTTAACACCCACAAAAACTTTGAGCTTTCAAGCTGGCAATTTGTTCAGTTTCGCTCTATAGTCCTAAGTTTGCCAGCAAATGGCCTACATACTCTGCTCTTTAGCACCCTACCTCGAGGAGAAATATGGTGCTAAGCGACGTGATCTCAATGCTGACACTCGATCTTTCTTCCATCTGACGGAATACCATAAGAGAAGCAACGACTGACTCCCCACGTATGGGCAAAATTTTGTAAATAACAGTGGTATATGTTAAGATGAGGAAGCACCTGACCAGGGAATGCTTAAAGCATCCCATGGAACTTTGGATGGAGACCCAGGCAAATCGGTAGAGTACTGAATACTATTCACAGATATGTAGACCAAAACTGCTACGCGACCTTTCTAGGCAAGTTGTGAGCGGTCAAAGTTGGCAAGAAATGCAGTAAAAAGTGAGTTGCGGCACCAAACCGCCAGATCGCCTCTGTCTCAAAAATGAATGTCATTCGTGACCAGGCCATCTGTTTCACCTCTTATAAGCACTGCTACAGGAAAAACTAAAAACGCCGATGCGGTTAGAATAGCTCGACTGCTATACTGATGCCACCCTTTGAACTATGACCACCCACGACTTGCTTGAAACGTAGCAGTCTTGATCTATTTGTAACTATCATTCATTACTCTAGTGATTCATCCCAGTCTCCATTCGTAGTTCCATGGGGAGTTGGAAGCATTTCCTGGTATGATAAGCAAAAATCAAAACTGAAAAATACCCAAAGTGAGTCACTAATTATGGGACAATCTAATAATGACACCCTAACCACAGCTTCATCGCAGGTCTCGTGTTCGGTTGACACCCAATTCGATTGCCTCCTCTAGAGCGAGCGTCTTCAGTCACCTCTGAAAAGTTTTTCTTCTTCGTAAACTTCAACTCTGCTCCAAACCGCCGGAAGCTTGTATATTATACTATACAGGGGTGGCCAAAAAAAGAGACACTTTGCCCATGGCGCACATCATCGAACTTTTCGTCGCACAGGGAGCCGATGTTAATGAAAGTTTTACGGCGGAATATTCCTTAGGTGTTCCCCCGTAAACAGAAGCAGGCCCTCCTTCACTGCCCCCGCCGTCTTCAGAATATGACGTCATCTGCCGTCACCGTCGAGCTCAACGAGGCTTACCGTAATCGCTCCGGCCTGAAGCTGCTACATAATTTCTTCAATGGATTAACTGTGAATAGCTTCCCAGAGACATTAGCTGTGACTATGCAAACCGCTTTTGACCAGCGTTTCAGGGACGTCGTAATGGTCTATGGTACCTCGACGACCTCGTTGAGCTCGTACCGTGAACCATGTTTCCGTGGGAAAATCTTCTGATGTCGTCGGTGTAGAAGGCTGTCATGTAACTTTAGATAGATTAGAATGTGCTCTTTAATACTGAGTTGGAGGCAGTCGATTTGGTTTTTGGAAAATGTGGTT